CAACGTCCTGAAATTAATTATATCTATGCTGGTTTGGGAAGAAATTACCTTGTTTATTTGTTCCTTTTTTTGATTTTTTTTACTGATTTCATATCACCTGAAAGGAATCAAAATCTCTAGGTTATCCGACTTACATATACCTTAGATTGCACATGAAATTAATGCATTAATGACAAAATTAGTAAATAAATTAAACTACATTGATATCCAAAATTTCGTAGTACACCTCTGGAGTATGTGTGGCTAAATTGTATTTTGTACAGCCAAATCAATGATCATGATAAGGTAGAATGAATTGCTAATAACATATGATGTTACAGCTTATCGCTTCTTATTACAGCCAATTGATTTATGTTTACTACCCTATACTTAGATTTTAAGAGCTATATATGACTTATTTTTGGAAAGGCATTTGATAGAGTGACTTTCATTCGTTACTTAATTTTAATTGCACTAGCGCCCGACACATTATGATTGCATCGTGGAATATTATGCTTTTGTTCGTACGAAATGGAATTACTATGACATTCCAGCTAACGATATGTATATTGTTATAACATGCCGAATTTACCAGAAACTAAAGCATACCTTGATTTCGCAAGTGGGTAACCTAGGCAATCAAAGACATTTTGACTTGGTTTATTAGAACCGAATAAATAGGAAAAAGCGTAGACGTCTTATCTAGCTTTTCCATCTGCGTTGTGTTAAATAAGGGACTGTGAAAAACGCTGTATTTCAATTCTGATGTTTATTTGCCTATCTCACTTTCTCTACTGATACGAATCGTCGATTTAACTCAATTAGAGTCATTTTATCTAGATTTCTGGCTTTACTGGCTTTGACAGACAAGCACAGAGCTTATGTTAAACAGCGTTCTTTGTTATACTTCTCATGTACTCAGAATGAGAATGTAATCAATTTACGACTTATCGCGGGAAGCATGGACAGGCAAAGTGGATAATTGTGAATTTGTCTTCAATTGTTTGAGTTATCCATAAATTACGAAAGTGTGATCACATCATCTTGCACTTTTGTCTGGATTACATTGATATCAACAGTGTAAACTAGCTTTCGGAAAATCAACTCGAAAATTGAAATGGGATGGAAATTCCATTCTATTAACAGGTCAAATTCTTTTTAGATGTGACCTCGGCATGTTTATTGAAGGGCGACTACTATACGGTCGACCATCAATTTAGTCTTCTAATATTTGTTCATTCTTATTTCTTTATTCTCACTTTGGCATTTGCCTGATTAACTTTATTCGACATGCTAGGTTTTCTCATGATTATTTAGTTTTGTTTCTTCTGCACTCACTTTTATTTCTGATACACGCGACTCACTCTTCAGACAAGAGTCCTAACTTTACAGTTCTTCCACTTGCCGGGCTTGCACTCCATCACTGCACTCCTGTACTTTCTGTTGTCTTGGAGCCTGCATCTGCTGCAGATCCAGACGATATAGTCCGACTCGAGCGTGGCCTCCGATTACTTGAGAGAGCCGATTCCTGTGCTGAGGTATAACATCTTAACTTTTTACATTTTTTAAATAATTTGGGGCTTGCTTTGTTCATTGGTTAGCACTATAATCTCTAACTGTTATATATATATGTGCTAAAAGACTTAGGAAGGCTGCGCTTATTTAGGTCAAACCCCCTAATTATAGTGTAATGAGACTGCGATTAAACTAAAGGCCACACTATCATGGTCTTCATGTTAAGGTTTAAAAAATGATACTATTATTTCTTTAACATGTTCGAAGCCATCACAATTCTCTTGAATCTTGCAATTTAGTCTTAGTTGTTGAGCAAATTTGTCTCAGTTTACTTTACTTGGCTTCACTGATTGATCTATTCGGACACCTTTTTTTCTCAATTTATAAGGCCCTTACTAATATTTGCCCATTTTTATCCACCCTTTCCTTAATTTACGTATGCTTCCAATTTATCTTGTCTATTCCAAATAAGATATCCTCTTCTATGCCCTCTGATATGCGATTTGGGCTAATTTATTGCCATACAGTCTGCATTGACATAGGTCTTATTTGAAAGTTTGACAATATGTTTTTCACTTCACTTACCTCCATTAATCGTTTCAGGTCAAGATCACTAGTCGAGGCGAATACTTGCTTCAGGCTGCTGGCGAGATTCATTTGCAAAAGTGTCTCGAAGACCTGACGACTCATTTTGCCCCCGAGGTCGAGTTACATGTCTCTCCTGTGGTGGTGCCTTTTCGCGAGACTGTAACTCAGGCTTGTCTGCCTCCCCTTCGTATGCCTGCAGCTGACGCCTCCCTCCGACTTGCTCGCCAGCGTCTTGAGACTGCTATACGTGACTCATGTCCAGCATCCAGGATACTGGGGGATCGCTTGAAAGGTGAAATACCTCTTACTTTTCTCTTCTCTGTATAGAAATGGTCTGAACTCGTCTTTTTAACTTGGGCGTATTGTCAGGGCGACTTAGATGTACTCACTGTCTGAAGTCCTTTGCTATAATAATTTTCATCATTCCCAGCTTCGGGTCGTGAGCTTTTTACACTTCTATATGTTTCGCCAGCTTCGTCAGTAAGTCTTATCCTTCTCAACGCCAAGCTACAACTCCTCAAAGGGACAGGTGAAGTCAATCTCTTAACTAGCCCTCTGCCGAATTGTTATATTATCACTCTCCTATATGCCTTGGCCCTTCTATTCACTCCATACACTCTTATCACACTCCCGCCCCATCACAACTTCTAACTTATTTATATTCCACTCCTCCATAGGTGTGTCGTCATCACACCTGCTGTTTACCTTGCCCCCTTTCTCTCTAATTGTTTATTTGACTTATGTCCCCTATCCGGACCTCCCTCATGGGCCCGTAAATCCTTTTATTTTCTTTCTGGTACATCGATTTCACTTGGTTCCAGTCACAACTTAAGTTTTATTCCAGGCGCTATTACTCAAGCCTTCAGTAGCGCATTGCCGCCTCATCGGCAGAGCGCCTAGGCTCTGATTTCCATGCTTTCAGATATTAAGCATTGCCTTCATGGGTAGTCTACTTGATTAAGCCAGGTTTCCCCGTCCAAACTGTGAAATTACAATCAATTTAGTCATAATGCCAAACTTCTGTGACGGTTGTGATTATCCTTCTCCCTGATCATGTAACTTCCATACCCCCAAAGTTATAGTTGTTTCTTTGAGCAGACCGCACTCATTAAGAACGTCTTTGCGTGATTTCTTAAACTTCCTTTCCTGCTTCTTCCTTACGATCTCTTTCGGCAGTAGGTTAGCCAAGGGATTGACTTTACTTATCTCTTTGACAGGTAGTAGCTTGGTTCTAAGAATGGCGAGATTCACGAAACTTCTGTGAAAGTACCAAGTCCGCTGTCTGAAGCTGGGAATTCTTATGACTACTTTAACAGCGGACTTTGTACAAGGTGCATCCAACTAAGTCGCCCTGACAACACGGCCAAGTTGCGAAAACGATGCCAGCCCACTTCTATGCATCGAAAGGAGACTGCGATCTTGGTCTTCATATCTACAACCTTCCTCTTTTTACTCGATTATTCATCTTGCCTCCTTTCTAATTCATTCTACTAACCAGAGCTAGTTTTTGTTCAGTTTTCATTTCTTTTCCCTCAATTTAACCTGTTGGTCCCCTTTTTATTGTTATCGGTTCCCTAATCTTCAGTATAGCTATTAAGTCTATGTTTTGCAAAACATTTGGTTTATATCACGCTCTCTACCCCTCTTTATTGACCATGCGCTCAGCTAATTCTGATTCTTAGTTTTATAAACCCTTATATGAGATTTTGTATCAATAAAACCCCTTATGTAGACTTCGATTTGCTTCCCCCACTTAGACGCTACCAGGTGATCACGTAACCTATAAACCTGATTTGGTAAGAGGATCAGAAATTTCCCACAAAGCCGAGTAAAGTTTTCCACCCTTTATTTATACATTGTCTCAACGTAATATGTCATCAATAATTCACCTTTCCTATTCTAATTCAGAAATTGTGGTAACTTAAGGAACCATTGCAAAATTTTCAAACTCCATGTTCGCCCTAAATAGCTGTTCCTTCGTTCTTTTTCTTATTAGTGTTAATTAGTTGGCGAATAATCCTAATGGATAATTATTCTAAGTTAATTTATTTCTTAACCTTTCTATTTCTTGATTCAGGTGATTTACACAATTTAAATCCAGACTTATCTTAGAATTCCGCATAGCCTTGCTTCCCAAAAGGTATTCTCATCCAAGCAGGACTGGACTACAGTTTCGACCTCGCCTGAAATGGTATCATCAGCACTCCCAACGGGACTTGAACCAAGACAGTTCAGCGTATAATATCTACACCTTAACCACTACGCCACATTGCCGCCAGTGCCCTTAGGTCGTAGAGTAAATGCCAATTTCAAGGACAGCCATTTTTCCCATATCATATTCTGTAATGGGATTGTCGATAAAGCAAAGTCGTATTTGTTATGGCAATCGACTAGTGATCTCGAAACCCTACTCATGAACTAAAAATAAGATTGTAGATATGAAGACTAAGATGTTGTGGCCTCCTGTTTGGTCTCAGCCTCTTTTATCTTTATAGTGTTATTTGACCTTGTTTTTTCAACTTGTAGAAAGTACCTAGTCTTGCGTCCATAGTATTCGTGATTTCCAGCATCAGATGATTGACTTGGTACATACCAATATGCTTGGACGGCATCGTCAGTGAGAGGCTGACATAGATACAATTTGTCAAAGTGACACATTTTCCCTTCAACCATTTTGAAAATTACTTAAGCAGGTACGGTTATTGAAGGCTCATAGGCACCCAGATTTCAAACAATCAGTGATTTTCATGTGTAGCAGGAAGCAATTGACAATTGGAGTAGATAGATCCTCGGTGAGCCGTGGATTTCTTCGCACAATTCAACAG